GCAGTGTGTGAGAAAAACATTCAAATCGTAATATTGTGACTGCGGAAGGCAGTGTGTGAGAAAAACATTCAAATCGTAATACTGTGACTGTGTAAGACAGTGTATGGGGAAATGTTCAAATCATACTGGCTTGTACCTTGAGTTTGTGATCCTAACTTGGTGTGTTTTTCGGGAATAATGGATTACACGATGACAATGAAAGAAAATGGAAAATGAAGGATTTCAATGTTGATATATCTAACTGGTGAACTTTGGTACACCAGTATATAAATCATCCATTAGTTTTGTGGCACTATCACTTTTGCCTTCGGGTTCTATACGTACTTTTGTGGTTTTCCTATATAACTTGTCACCTTAGGCAATCCCAATTTCTATAACTTTTAGAATATCACAACCCACAAAACTAACTCTAACACTACTACTATATGAAGCAAAGTACGTGGTTTAATGTATGAAATTAATTCCCACGCAATTGGATAATAGATTATTTGTGTATATATTTTTTAGATTGTGATAATCTCTCTTTATGTTGACGCTTGGAGATCGTATCGTCCCAGGAACCATTGGTTTAAAACAAAAAGTGTCAAAAACAAACAAACGATAACAACAGAAGGCGTGTGTGGTAGATAATGAAAATCTGAAAGCTGCTCGACGGATAGATATTAATGGTAATATTGAAAAAAAATCAGAATTTGTCACGCATATAATTAATTTGAATTTGTGACTTTGATAAAGAAAATAAACAACATTTCCTTCTAATACGTTGGATTGTGATTGGTTGTGGTGATAGGTCAGTAGTATTCCGCTGCTAAGAGATGTCCAAATTGTGATTGGTTGTGGTGATAGGTCAGTACTATTCCGCTGCTCAGAGATGTCCAAATTGTGATTGGTTGTGGTGAATAGGTCAGTAGTATTCCGCTGCTAAGAGATGTCCAACTGTATTATGATAATGTCAGTCCACGTATCTTTTGTCGTATAACCACTGAAATTGAGAAGTTTAAAATGAAGTTTTCATTATTCCGAATATGGTCGAATGGACGACATTTCCGTATAACCGATGTTCTTAAAGCAGCTGTATACAACTGTATTCGTAATATCACACCAGTACTTTATCGAACTGGTATATAATGTACATAGTAAAGCTTATGGTAATAGGTCGGCGACTACTTTGAAAAACGATGTCTTCTTGTCCACCTCGTTACCACTACTGGTGTTTATAATCTCTTTGAAAACTCCCAGTAAAATTACGTTTAGAGAATAGTATTGGAGATGTTACATGATTAGCACCAGCTGTTTGTGTTGTAAACACAATCTGGCGACACTAACATCAGATAGTACTATATAGGCGGAGAGTATCTTTAAGACAGATTACAGTTGAAACAGTGTAAAGCAAAACAGCTCATATTTGAAAACATATTGGCGAAATGAAGAAATGGACTTATATGAGTTTTCTTAATCAACAAGCTATAATATATATATAAATGATGTTATTCTTAATTATTGAAATAGAGTTGTTTTCCTTGTGACAGTAGATAATGATCGAAACCCGGTTTCTAGCATTGTAAGTCCGCAGACATACCCTTGTGCCACTGGGGGGTGGGGCAGTTTTAGCGTTGTAATGAAAAAAATCTGCTTAAGGCAGGTAGAGTTTAGACCAATCATTGAATTTTGTGGCCACTTTTCTGACGTTAATACTTAAACATCTTTTCCCATAACAAAACTAATTCCCTAAAAATGGTATGCTATTATGTTTACTTATTTGTGCGACAAAAAAGGGCATTATATATTTATAAAATAGATAATATTTTATAGTATGCATAAATTTTAATCTATTTAAAAGTGGATCTATATTTTGGTTAGAAAAAAAAAAAAAGCTCATTTGGACATCCTAGTTCCCGTTAATAAATACATAACGAGTTATATATACGTATACTGACCGCGTGCCGATCACGTAAAGACCGCGATTGTACACGTGGGCATTACGTAACTGTCGACTGTAAGTTGACTGACAGTGAAAAAGATTCTGATTAACATGTTAATACATAGGATTGCACACAAAAGTCGTAATAGTTTTCAAACGAGACCCAAAACTCGAGCGCTTTTGAATAGTTCACTACTCTTCTTCAGGAGAATAATAATAATAAAAAATATCCTGAAGAAGAGTAGTGAACTATTCAAAAGCGCTCGAGTTTTGGGTCTCGTTTGAAAACCAGTGAAAAAGATTGTCAATTAGTCTATTTATCGAAACATCATACGACCTCATAACTATAATCTAGTTAACAGTTTCTGGTAGTATTTGTGTTTGTATGTAAGTGAATGCAAACACACTTGTTTAGTATTCAGGATTATCATGCCAGCAGTTAGCGTTAGGGGACTCAAACATCATTGTATTAAGTATCCAATAACGTAGGCTTTTAATATCAAATGTAAACATGGTTGTCTTATGAGAGAAAGACTTGTAGACTGTTGGTACAATATCAAAACACTGAGCTCAAACATTAAGTCTGAAAATAACGCAAATAGAGAATCACGAAAAAACAAGTAAAGAACCACAAGATGCCTTAGAACCACAAGTTGCCTTAGAACCATAAGATGTCTTAGAACCACAAGATGTCTTAGAACCACAATATGCCTTAGAACCATAAGATGCCTTAGAACCACAAGATGTCTTAGAACCACAAGATGTCTTAGAACCATAAGATGTCTTAGAATCATAAGATGCCTTAGAACCACAAGATGTCTTAGAACCATAAGATGTCTTAGAACCACAAGATGTCTTAGAACCACAAGTTGTCTTAGAACCATAAGATGCCTTAAAACCACAAGTTGCTTGTGTCTGTAATTATTAACTTATCTCAGACGAGATCACTGAGCAACGTTTCCTGTGAGATATATTCTTTTACTTAACGTGTTCGTCATGTTAACGCCAGCATTAACAAAGTAACCGTAAAAGTAAAAAAGAAAGAAAGAATAAATAAAAAAAATAATTGCCGCTGCTATTTAAGATGAGTCATACTTTCGGTCACTTGGTAAAGCATGTAAGGATATCAGTTATATTATCTTAACTTAATGCTTATAAATAACTTTAATTTACCCGAGGTGAAAGAAGTGTACAATAAAGCTTCGAACACTTTTGGTTCAGGCCAAATTTATGCATTTTCTTAACTCTAAATTTGGTTGCAGATCACCTTCTTTATGTTTTAGTATTTATATAAAAAAAAAGTTTTTGTGTTTATAATCTTGTTATCCTCTGAAATGATGTTTTAATTTCATGTTTTTAACTTATGAAAGACATTGATAACTTAGTTCCAGCTTGAGCTTTCTTAGCTTTGTAAGCTTTCTAGAAAATCGTCACTTCACTGGTAGTAAGTAAGTGATCATTTGAAGAATATGTAATATCTGACATCATTATTAACTAAGTTAGATTTAGATAATATCTCAGAACATGTATATATATATACATACTAGATGTACTTGTGCAGGGTCTCCGAAAGTGTTCTGTTTCAAGAGTAAACAAAAATAAAATTATGAGTAACAGATATTTATATTTCTTGTTTTGGAAGATCATATGTCATGCTATGTTGTAACCTACAGAGTGCATAACTCTTCTCGTAATTCATAGCATGCGCACGTTTTACTGACGTTACGACAGTACAAATTGGAACGCTAAGTGTCCCTTATGTGACGTCATTTTAGTGTCTACTGACTAACTGACAAACAATTTTACTGACGTTACGACAGTACAAATTGGAACGTTAAGCGTCCCTTATGGGACGTCATTTTAGTGTCTACTGGCTAACTGACAGACAAAACACTACTGTATTGTGTAGCGAGTGGTTAAAACAGGTGACCCTGTCCAGGCGGCCTTCGGGGAAATAAATGAGAATTGAAACACATAACCGTTTTTTGGATGAATGACTTTTACTATTTACTAAATTCCGCTGGTTATTACAAGACTTCATTTCATCATAAATCACTAGTCTTATATACTTCGTGAATTAAAACCAGATAAGTCCGTTAAAGCCATACACTGACTTGCCAGATAGAATAACTCGTTCAATAACCAAACAATGTTGTTCGCGTTGTCGTTTCGTAGTTCTAACAGGGGAGTTGGATTTGTTAAACCTGGGAGGTTAAGCACGTGATTTGTATACATAAGTTCTCCACTTTATTTTATCTCCGTACGTTTCCACCTAGAGGTGTGAAAATCAACTATAAGTACCTCCTGATAAGAGCTATTCAGAAAATGCCATCAGTAACTAGCTTTAACGAACCCATTATTTCACAGGTGACAACTCCACGCTGTTCACTCGGAGGCAACTGACCAGCGGCTAGTAACAGCTTTACAAGTTTATGATAACAGCAGAGCCTTCGCTGAAGATGCCCCATAAAGGTTAGAGCTTCACATTTTCGTTTACTTTGTCCCACCAAAAATTGAATACGTACAATAAGTTCAAGAGTGTTTACAGTTAGCGTATAATAGCCACATAGTGGTTTAGCGTTAAGCCTAAATATATCGATATTCATGGTGGACACAGTACAGATAGCCTATTATACACCTTTGTGTTTAACATCAAACAAACAAAATTTAGTGAATAGAACGAAATATTTTTTTTTCTTTATTTATATCGATTTTTTTTTGTTTTAGAGCAAAGTCACATTGTAAGTCCGTAAACTTACCGCTGTCCCATCGGGGGAATTATTTACATTGAATTAATTATCAGCGCTCTGTCCACCGCGAGGGATTGAACCCAGGATTTTAGTGTTGTAAATCCGTAATCTTACTGCTACCCCATCAGGGGACTTATTTACATCGAATTAATTATCGAACCCTTGATTTTTAGCGTTGTAACTTCGTAAACTTATCGCTGTCCCACCGGGGGACTTATTTACATCGGAATAATTATCGGCGCTCTGTACACCACGAGGAGTCGAACCCTTGATTTTTAGCTTATCTCCAACCTATTAACTTTTAAGTTCACAATACGTTCCAAAGGAAGTTGATATAACTCCGTTTTACATTAAAGCTCGAATTGTATTTTTTGTTATTGTAAATATTATCTGGCCTTAATTCTTTTATAAAAAGTTGAAATACGTGATTTTAAATTTGTTTCAAAATTCTTTATTACCCCTTTGCTTCCGTTATAACTTAATTATGTGTAAGAAATTTGTATAGTTATGTTTCTTGCTCTCTTCATCGCTTTATGATTTAAAGATCGTTAAGACTCTTACTGAGATATCTACAGATGTATGGTAGTGGCTTATTTTCTATTTGATTTATCTGCAAGTTACAATGTGAGCATTGTTTTTGTTTTTTAAACTATGTTCTTCGTAACTATTTAAACAGCTTGGTTGCTTGAAAATTTATTTTTACAAAGTTTGCATATTCAGGCGCTAGGTGTAAAATTTCGTGATTTTTTTTTTCAACATCTCTTCATTTGGGGAAGATTTTTCCTCGTTCTCTGTAGGTCATAGTGGGGTTAATCAGCTAGGCGGGATGTACGTGAACGGACGACCGTTACCAGACTCGACCCGTCAGAAGATCGTAGAGCTGGCCCACAGTGGTGCCAGGCCTTGTGATATCTCCCGTATACTCCAAGTATCGAATGGCTGTGTCTCCAAGATACTGGGACGTTACTATGAGACAGGCTCCATCAAGCCCCGGACTATTGGTGGCAGTAAGCCTCGTGTGGCTACTGCAGCTGTAGTGAATAGGATAGCCGACTACAAGCGGGAGTGCCCTTCCATCTTTGCCTGGGAAATGCGAGACCGACTTTTGGCGGACGGAGTGTGTAACAGTGAAAACATTCCAAGTGTGAGTGAAAGATACAGATTACTAGAATTTAAGGAAACGTAAAGAAAATCTCGAATTATCAGTGGAACATTTAAATTTGCCCTCTTTGCTCTCGAATGCTTTTTCTGATTTTCGATTTTCAGCCCCAAAAATTACTCATAGAATAAGAACGTTTAATCTTTTTTTGAATTTGTTGTTAATAGTAATTATATTCCCTTTTATTTTTAAAGCTAGAGTGTTAAGAGATAATATGTTTTAACTGAA